GTGTCTTTTCCATGTGTGTCATGGTACTCCTCCCTCCTGTGTACTGGTCGAAAGTGATATCCATTATACAGCTTTGCTCGGCTAATAGCCTCTTTCTGGCGTATGGCCTGACGCAGTCCCGTGGTACATGGACTGAGCCCCCCCCCCTCCCCTTTTACACTGAAGTGGAGGCTGAGTAACCTGCCACGAGAGTATTTTTGACTTTATCGCCAAAGGAATGGAATGTTTTTTTTTTCTCGGTGCATCCTTAGCTATTTTAACCACTTAACCGAAAAAGCAGTTTTTTTCTATAAGATCTGTACTTAACCTTTGCTTCTTTGCCTCCTGTTGCCTTTCAGACTTCTGGAGAATGGCGGACAGTTTTTTGGATAACATTTCTTTTATACGTCATTGGATCTATTGCTTTCATGGCGCTAATGACAGCTGACAGACAAGAATGGGACAAAGTTGAAGGGGCTTCGAGAGAACCCAGTTTAGATGTCGCCACTACACCGTGATAGATCTTTAATTTATTCACATAGTGTAGCTAAATACTACATGTTTAACGCCACAACTTGAATGCACGTATAATCTAATTCCCAGATAGACAAATACTTAGACGTAAAGATGCGCAGACGTGTAATTGTGATTCGACTGAAAATAAATAATTGATACAAATATCTAAGTACAAATATAACGAAAGAGCTGCTTGAAATAGAAACGAACTTCCAATTTGTAGCGTAATTAGGTTCGGTAGTAAAACTCTTAAACAAAAGTTACACTGCGTTCGCAAAAACTAACGAAACGACTGACTTAAAGAAAGATGTTTTTCGTCTTGTCATAAGCATGGGACAAAGAAAAAAATTTCCATGTGGAATCGAACCTCAGACCTTCGGATTCCGCGCTTTTTCCTTTGTCCCTCGCTCGTGACAAGACGAAATACATCTTTATTTCTTTACCGCGCTCAAAGAATTGACTTAGTTAAAATAAACTAGCAACGTGAACTTAATTTAATAGAAACACAACATACAACAGTTGTTCAATTGAAAGAAAAAACAATATAAAATAATTTCGCAGTTATTTGACGATAAACAGAAATGAAGATTCTAGTTGCTACGCATAAATCTTCTATACAGGTAGAAATAGATAAGAATTAGAAAGTAAAATAACATTCTTATAAATCGAGCAGGATTTGTATATTTTTGTGGAAATTTTTTTTTTATGTACACTCGTGTATTTTTTAAATCCACCGAAGGATCTAAACTTCGGCACAAAAATTAAAGGTTACTATTTTAAAATACGGATCAATATGTTCATGTATAATGTGTTTAGCCTTTTGAATTTCACCGCTAATTCGCTAACATAAATTAATTTTTGAATGATAAATTTGTGCGTCATTACTAGTAATCATAAAAGTGTTGTTTTTCCAAGATTTCCGTATTCCTTCACGCTCCAAACCTTTTACGTTAACTGCATGATTGCAGTCTTTCTTCCTTTTTCATTCGTAAGGCATTCTTCCGATGTGTGTAGTTGTTTGGCTTCATCTTTTTGCTCCGTCCATCTTGTCCTACCATGTTGGATTCTTTCTGCGCTCATTTTGCAAAGAATTGTATTTCTTGAGTCACTTCGAGTGGGCAGTAGGATGTAGTTGATGTTAACTACGATTAAGTTGGAATGAATTTCCAAAATACGCAATAGAAGAGCGGTTTAGAACGAATTTTACGGAGCGCTAAGACTGTGGTGTGGTGTTCACAACGCGTGTCGTATTATTTTTATGATTATTATTATTATTATTATTATTATTATTATCATTATTATTATTATTATATTGATATTGATTGTCTATCATTGATCAGAGTAAAAGAAAAATGATGACGAAGTCTCATACCAGATCCTCTTATCCTAAGCTGGGTTCTCTAAATGAGTGGCAACTGGAAACGCAGTATTTTCGCAGAATCATACTTGAGAACTGTCCAAAGATTAATATCACACAACAATGAAAATAGTTTTTGTGGCTAATGGCACTTAATATTATTGTTACCTCAACGTAATACTGCTTTACTTACTGTGTAATGCGGAATAACATAAACAAGACGACACGATGTCAAAGCTAAGACCTAGATAATATTTTTGTTTTAAAAAGGAAAATAACGATGATATGTAAAAGAAAGGTAGACATCTTAGATCTCATCGATCCCTAATGCCATAATGCCACTTTTCCTTCAGATTTTAGGTTTATTTCGTATTGCCGTTCTGTTATTAGTATTGCATTGATAGTTCAAAGAGAAATTTTATATACGTCTAGAGGTTAAGGAAGATCCAAAGCAATGTTTTAACTCAAAAGTGCCCTCAACTTGATGGAAATTTAAAATGTTTCCTTGGCAAGATACAAAAGTTAATAATAAAACACGAAAGAGAATGAATGGCTAAGGATGTAAAAATTGATTACCGTACCATCATTAAAAATTCCGATTTGCAAAAATTTGAAAGTGATATTGCTTCCTCAAGATTAATATCAGCTGCAATGAAAAATAAGCACGACATTAATCATTTTTCATACAGAGTACCAAGCTGCTCATTCGAAATCACAACGATGAATCACTCTCTGGGGAATACCAGCTACTTTTTGGCTTCTGGCATTTCAGTAGAAAACTGTTCACTTCCTCTGTCTCATGGATTAGCCCTTATCTCAATAAACACTATCGTGAGTATAGCGGGAACGCTTGGGAATCTACTGGTTTGTTTAGCGGTTGCCAAAGTTCCTCGCCTTCGCAGACCTGCAAACTTCCTTCTATTCAGCTTGGCCCTAGCTGATTTACTTGTGACTATGGTGTGCGTACCGTTATTTCTGGTAATCCTCACCAGAAGAGCTTTTTTTAATGACTGTGCAAAGGACTTGGAACGCCCATACGTGATCTTATCCATGCTTTCGTGCTCTGCTTCAGTAGAACATATTGCGGCTATCAGTGTTGATCGTGTTATCGCTATTTTGTACCCTCTGCACTACAAAGGTATCATGGAGAATCGTGGTTGGAAGGCGATGCTTCTAAAGTCTTGGATATCACCGATTGTGGTTCCCGTTTTGAACCCCATTATTCCGAAGAGATTTCCCAAACGTTTCGTTGCATTCGGAATTTTCAGCCTCAGCTACATGGCTGTGTTTGTGTCGTACTCTCTGATAGTAATATCGCTGGTCAAACATCGGAAAAAACAAATACAGATCAGAGCTTATCCTTCCAATGATGCTGGCAACTTCCAGAATTTCCGCGTCGAGATTCGCATTGCTTTTACACTGGCGATTGTGATCGTTGTTTTCACTGCTTGTTGGGTTCCACTTTTTGCCACGTTTTTTGCAGCTGGGAAGCTACTGGTGAATAATCGCGGTATGGCTTTTATATGGATCAGGACCTTGGCTCTTTCAAACTCCGCAATGAATTTCGTGATTTATGGCTCTCGAATGCGGAACTTTCGAGAGGCGTTCACCGAAATTTTGCGGAAGATTCTTAGCTGTTGTGAATGTTCACGAACCAATGTTCCCGATGTCAGGTTACAAACATTACGATCTTAAAATCATTTAAATGAAAAAAATATGAAGATAAGTTAAGAACTAAAAAAACACAGTGGTAATCTGTGCGCGTTCATTTAATTAACAGTCGAGTCCTCTTTCGCCAAGAGTGTAATTAAAATCCGAGTTCTAACACACAGTCTGTCCGTGATCAGACAGATCACAATATCACACAGTCTGTATACAGGAGCGAACGTCATAGTGACAATTAGCAGCATCATTTTTGGTTTATCTGTCAGATGCTAAGCTTTTCTTGTTTTTCGTTGCTTTGAACAAGTGCAAAATTCTCCTGAAGACAAAATCGAAGAATTCCAGGAGAGTTAGGAAACTCATTCCAAGGAAAAGACCAAAAGTACCACCCAGGTTTCCTAGTGGAGCAACAGTAGACAGCTTAGTGCTAAAGTGGTGTCTAAGTGATGAAATAATGTGAACTAAATTTAATGGCTGCGGTAGTAAAGTATTTTTTTCTTTACTCAACATAATTTACAAGAATTTTGATGGCACATGAACGCTTTTCCAGCAAGAAAGCGTTGGGGTATAAAGACATAAAAGATCTTTCGTTAATGTAGTTCTAACATTAGTGGACATACATGCATACTACACTGTTTCATCAAATTCAGAGTTATAACTTTTTGTCTTCACAGAGAGCGGGTGCAGAGATTCCCTACATTTTAAGACATTGGGAATATCAAATAATGAAAAGATCGTCGTGATGTTCATAACTAGGTCACTAAATATGGGTTATCGGAATTCTTACCGGCCATTTATCAACATGCGCTTACAAGGCACAACACACCGAGAGATAATTGTGAAAACTTCAAATAACTTCACTACTAACCAATCAAAGCCCAAGTTTCAAAAACAGGTTTTTGCTGAACGATCTCAACACTCAGGTCTTCAAAATATATATCCAGAGAGATGATGTTTTCGCTGCGGGAAAAAAACCAAATAATCATTAAGTAACAGTTTTCATTTCGATTTCATGGGTAACATATTCTGCTACCACGGAAAACATTATTACCATCATTTACTTACTCTACAAACTTCTCCCTCTGTTCTTCGGTCATGTTCAAAAGGGGTTTGTACATCTCGAGTTCCATAACAGATTTCTCACTGTTGTTAAGAGAGAACATGAGTTGTTCAATGAAAGCGTCCCTCTGAAGTCCACTGTAGGAAAGAGATGTCTTGTACTCCACATATTCGCATGGCTCGCCACACTTCCTTTCGCAGGCAGACTTCTCACTGGAAGTACCAAAGTTTTCTGCGACGGGAATAAATCATTATGCTTCTGTTATTAATTTTTCCTGGGCGTAGAGTTCTTTAATCTGGTTTGATGCTTTTATTTTCGATGGTATTTCAGTGTACGCTTCAAGGCAGAAAAATTTTCCGATGAAACTAGACTTCTTTTCTTACACTCACAGCAAAGAATGAGCCGACATCGTTGACAGCATAGGAAAAAGTTTTAATCCAGAGATTTAAGAAGACTGTAAGAAAACAGTAAGAATAAATCCATTTTTATAAACATCCAATGAGCTCATCGACTTCTGCTAAAACATGACCAATTGGTATCAACCACTGGGGACTAATTGCCTAGGTTTCAGATTTTTACTTCCATATTGATGCAACTTAAGCCTATCAACGAGAAGTAAATTCAAATTCCCATCAACATTGGTTAGGATTGGTTTCAGAAAAAGCAACAAATGTGATCCTCAAAATAACTGGATGTAGTCTTTTCTTTTTTAACAACAACCACATTGTCTAGTTGTAGGCTGCTTTGAGCATATTAAATTTGACTTACCATACGATGGGAAAACGCACAGAATTGAGTCATTCACTGCACAAATTGGGATTGGTCGATTGGCTGTTAAAAACAAGAGAAAATAATTGTCCATTATGCCTATCATGCTATCGTTTCATGAGATCTTTTGGGTTTTACGAATGATATTTAAGCAACTTAAGCCGAACCCATCGTCAAGTATAGGATTGACTGCACAAGAGCCGTTGAAATTCAGTTATTCAACTTTTTTAAAAATTAAAATGGTGGGCAGGCGCGCAGCTTACTAAAACGAGGGCTTCTCAAGTCTCACGTTTAAAGATGTAATCAAAGTGCTCTGTGAGTAAACTCGTGAATTGACACATGTTTTTTTGGATTATGTTTAATGTTATCTGGTTTAGGGAATTTTGTGGTTAATTGTCATATCTGGAGTACGAAACAAAGTAACGTTGGGATAAGAAGGCATTACAATTGAAATGATCATGCTATTAAATTTGACAAGGGTGGATGATGTCATGTGTTTTAAACTTATATCATTTTTGTTTCTGGTTCAAAAGAAAAGGTTGGAAGTAAATGGGGGTGAAAAGTGAAATTTACTGTCTATCATTGTAAATATTAGAAACTCAAGGCAATACTGTCTTGATGAAAACATTAACGATTCC